CACACACACACGTCTGTCACTCCCTGATGACACTTTCAATAGAGGCAGGCAGAAACAGATTAAAATGTAAGCCTTAAACAAACAAGCACAATGTAAAATCTATAAGTCGTGACCTGAAAATCTTTTAACTGAAAGTGACAGAAGACTCTAATGGCCACGTGTTCTTTTTTTCTCCCCCTTTTTTATTTCCTGCTGTGTTTTAGGAGATATGTAAATGGTGCATCACTTCCAGTTTTAAATCTATGGAAGGGTGTGCACTTTAACCCTGACCCTGAGGGGATTTAAGAGAAAAAAATAAGTTCTAAAACAGAGACACATTATGGAAGAAGACAAAAGTGACATGCTGGTAATATGTAGCTACTAAAAAGCTGAAGGATTAAAAAGAGTTCGTAAAATATCTAAAATGTTAAGAGATCTTAAACGCTTGTGCGTGACATCATCAACTGTCATTTGAGCCTTTCATAGAAAAGCTTGTAAAAACTGGTAAAAAAACAGCCCTTTGTTCTATGCTTTGCTTTGTACAGAGGGTCTGGACCCTCGACTAATGAGAAACCATTGCCCGCTGGAGGCGTGGACTCTTGAAGTTGATTGGATCTGACTTGACCCAATCAATAACGTTTGGCTGTGACATATGTAGTGCGCCACCTCGACCATGAAGGATGCTAAGCTAAGAAGCTAACCGGAAATTGCATGCGCTGTAAACAAATATCCCCTGAAGAGAGACGTACCGAGCTGAACGAGATGGCTGTAAATGAGTGCTGCAGGCTTTACAAGACAACTTTAATTAAATTTCAAAGCCTTGTCAACACGGACTGAGTGACTTCACTTCCTCCACTGCCATTGCTAAACTACAGGCAGACTAAAACAGCACGGGAAATCAATGTCATTGTTCACAACTCCTCCTTCTGCTCACTGATTGGCCTGGTTGAAATTCTACCAGAGAAATCCACGTCAATGGGAGAAAGCCTACTCAGAGCATAGAAAGGAGGTTTGAGTCAAGCAGAATTGCGTAGGAAGGCAACGGCCASGCTAATACATTTCTAAAAATCCTAAAACTTAAAATACAATAGAGTAAAATTAAATGAAAATACCAAAATATCAGTTCAGTCAGGTAAAGACCACATTTCTGTGACACTGTTGAACTTTCAATGATTGTACTGTAAAGTAGATCAGATCCATAAAGCTCCAAAGAAGGCAGATGTCTTCATTTATTTTGTCTACATCTCATTGTTGTACAGTGGCGTCCCACAACACTGAGGACTCAGTCTTTCACAGTTTTTTTTCATAGGACCTAGTAGTTTGCGATAATCCACATAATATCACGGAGATCAGAAATACATGGTATGCCAGGTTATTTTTAATCTCGTGTTTTTTTGTTGGTTTTCAAGCTAAATTATTGAGAGCAATTTAATTTACTTATTTTGTAACATCAACATTAATGTAAATCAGAAATGATGCATGCTCTGTTTCCACCATCTGACAGTTTACTGAACAGTCCTGCATAATGTTTAGCTGCTAACGTTTTGACTCTTGTGTGTTTTTGTTTGGTTCTTCTTGCATTAAGATGTCTCTATAACCTGCCGTAGGCCTTTTCTGGATTGCATCTAATATCATCTAATATTTGTGTTTTTTTTTTTCCTTCCACGATTTGTATGTACTCTAAGAACGTAACCCTAGAGAAAATCGGGGCTTCACTGTATGGGGAAATTTAATGCAGGATGTTTTGCAAATTTGGTTGATGTAAAACGTACCACTGCCAAAAGCCATAGCCCAATTTGATTCATAGTTTGCATGTTTTCAAAACAAAAACAGTTTGCAAAACATAATTTCTTTCAGCTAACCTAATCTCTCTCACGCTTCTCTTCCACTGTTGTTTTGCTCAAACCATCCATCCATCTGCATGTCTGCCGTACTTCCCTCCTCGCCACCCACTCCCAACCTCTTCTCTTCTGACCTCCCCTCAGAGTGGCTCTGCCTGATGCTCTATCATGACTGATGGCGAGGGGAGAGTGCGCTTTCAGTACGACGAGTGCCAGGAGCAGGGCGAGGTGCAGGACGACGTAAGGGTTTCTATAAGAAGCGAGCCCCAAGGTCACGATGCTGACCCGGGAGGAGGCCAGGGTGAGGAGAAGAAGAAGGAAAAAGAGACGGATGAGGAGGTGGTGGTGGTGCAGAAGAGAAAGAGGAGCTGTAGCGGGCCCGGCGAAGGAGCTGAGTGGAGCGCTGAAGTTCATGAAGAGAAGGAACCGGAAGCGGAAGCTGGACCAACGCTGGGAGTTCGAATCACGGCTCCGATTCGTGACCCGGACTGCGTCTCCGAGGATGAGGAGCAGCAGCCGTACCCCGCCCTGGCTCCAGTGGCTTTCTTTTGCCTTAAGCAAACGACGAGGCCACGCAACTGGTGTCTTCGCATGGTCTGTAACCCATATCCTTTTACGTGCTGGAGCTCTGACAGCTGGTAAGACTAAAGATGTCCTCTAACAGTTCTGAATGAACACTTACACTGCTTACATTCAACACTCGAGTACAAAGCATTGGGATATACAGGGGTTTATGGTCCAGTAGGGACGATGTTCACTTTGGTCTAGTTGCACAAGTTTGGATCTGCTTCCAATTATGGATTGTAAAAAATGTCCAGAGCTTCTGTTCTTTGTTGATGTTGTATTTGGATGAGTTTAGTGTTTGGTAAATTGCCTCGTGTGTTGTTTGAACGGATAAAGAAGAAATCGGATTCTGTCGGTTGGTTGTTCAGAACAAAGCTCATCCTGGTGTGGTTTTAACATAGTAGTGTGGTCTCTTTAGGAGACAATATGAGCTCCACATTAGGGCAGTTTCATACATTCACATATAATGCAATTTTATGCCCAACAGAGCAAGACATCATTGGTTTAGATTACGATTTTATTTAACCATCTGTTAATGTTGAAAATCAATGGATGTTCAGTGTTGTCTTATAGTTACCATCCTAATTGGCCCAGATAATCCCAATTTCAGCTCCTCTATCTTTATTATTATCTTTGAGCTGAGCATCTTCCTGACATTGTTTCTTTCTATGGGTTGTTTTTATTAAACTTGCAGATTAAAATGAACAGAATACACAAATGAACTGAAGATGAATGAATGCAATATGTTGCGAAGAGTGTGATGTATTAAAACTTTACACAAGTGCACACCTCAAATCTAATTTGAAGGGTATGGAAATATAGAAATTCAAGTTTGGTAGTCTGAAGACTGCAGAAATATGCCCTTTGGAAGTGAACTGTCAGGCGTTTGAGCTTCAGACCCAACAGATATTGCAGAATAAAATGAGTCAAAAAGGCCTGCTTTAGCAGTGCTATAAAAAATAAAAATGCTAACAAAATAAATGAAATAAACAAACAAAAAAAAATCCACAACCAGAACTACTTAAATCAGGCGGATCCAGCAGCAGTTTAATTAGTGCAACGCTGCATGCAAAGATTTATTTGCTTTGCATTAATCATCGAAGACGATACCGCGCCAGGAAAAATTGATGAATCATGTCAGTTTCAGCACGACGCCGTGACGTAGCTTTGACCCACGTCGACGATTTGTCTCGAATAGGTCAATGTGCGTCAGCCAAACCCTTCCTCACGATCCTCCTCTTGAGAAGGGCCCAGCATGGATCTGATGCTACCTGGCTTTGTGGGGATCTGACATTTCTGTGAGAGACTAAACTAATTCTGTGTGTTGCTGGTAAGACGTGCATGAGGGACATGTTCCATCACACACTGTGAGGTTTGTTTGGTGCTCAAAAATAGCAGACATGCTCACACTTTGGCTGTTAGATGAAATATAATTTTTACCTTCAACCAGCTGACTGAGCTTCTGAGTAGGGTCATTGATTTCTGAAGCCAGGCTTAAAATGAGTCGTTCTGTTATTCTTCTTAAAGAGCTGTTCGAATCGTGCATGAATGTCACATTTCTTGTCAGCCTTCTTTTGGCTATAGAGTTTGGGTTGAGGTTGTGAAAGCAAACGAGTGTAACATAACTTCCAGAAAATAATTATTGGATTTATGCCCATAACTGAACACCCTTTGGAGTCAAACCTGTTCAAGATGGCTGCCACAGTGAATCAACCACTGGAAAGAAATTGCTGTAATGAAGTCAATTTTACACATATTGAGATCATATTTGGTGTGCTACTAGCTATGAGTCCCTACCATACATACCTCAAGACAGCAGATCGTGCAGTTTTGTGTGCGGCATTGCATTTTGTTATGTGTAAAAWTTGTCCAAAATTGCTAGTTTTGTGATTTTTCTAATAATCTGATTTTAGTTTAACTAACCAACTTTGGCATCAAAAGTAGTGAGGAATGATTGGGATTTTATTATTTACATATTTAAGAGTTGAAAGACTAATATGTTTGGGTTTTTTACTTTTAGAGGGTGTAGTGTTTTTAATAGGAGACCCTGACTATCACTCTKTCACATGCCTGACACTGATTTAATAACTGCTTGTGTAAGACTGAAACCAKATTATGTCACAAGAGTTGATCTCACAAGACAACTCTGTGTACTTCATTTTTTCTGTATCTGGACGTGGGGGTGTGTAAGCATGTCCCACTGTAAACAGTTTGACTTGGTGGTCCACAGTGGGCTTTTTAAGTATCATTGAAAGCATCAGTGTTCTGTCACTTAGCCACACAAAGGAATGGACATCCTATATTTACTATAGTAAATACAGATTTTCCCAGCTTCACTTCAACCCATATTCTGGGTTTACAATGAACACACTACTCTGAACGGAACTGCAATGAATAAATAGGSTGCAAAACAACCCATTTGTATTGAGAAGTCATTAATGACTGGTGGCAATTAAAACAGGTTGCTTACAATTATCAGGATGGCGTTTCAGCACAACAGCTTTTTGTCATTTATCATTTTTATCGTGCTTCTCGTCATTAATCGACTTCTCTACTCAAAGGAGCTGGGCGTAAACACCAAGCATGTGTTGCTTTCTCCAGGCTGTAATTACAGCAGTACTTTTYATTTTATATCCACGGTGGTGTTTCAAAAGCTTGAGTAACTCGTTGAACATGTATCATTCTGCATAAAAATCACTTAGAATGTTTTTGATTGTGAGCGTACATCATCCGTTCATTATGTTTCCGCTTTATTCTTATTTTGTTCAGGAGTGCGGATAGGTGGAAAGTGTGTGTGTTTGTGTGTGTGTGTGTGTGTGGGGGGGGGATTACACGTCAAACAGGTCAAGTCCACTGCAGGGTCAAGGCAGGGCCATATGAATGAAAAAAAGCATGGACACTCACACTCGCTTTAGAGTTTTCGAACATTTACGTGAGAGGAAACTGAGATTTTCTTGCTGTGATGCAACACCACCAACTATTACTAATATGCTAATGTCTTTAGTTAAATAAAAATAAGAAACTATGAACAATTGTTCTTTATTTTATTATTTGGTCAATTGAATTAATATTTTTCTAACTTTAGTATTTTGTGTAAAAGTCATATTGTGTTTAATCTTTCCTCCTCGACTCCCCCACAGCATTGTACATTTTGACTGCAAAATAAACTTATTGCTTTCTTCTTTTTTTTCAAAACAATAAACTCTCAGTGCTCGGTATAAAAATCAGTTGATGTTTTTATGTAACTTCTGATTAAAAATCACACTTCAACAGGAGTCATTTCTCTTAAAAACTTTATGATTCTGAAAATGGAATTTTCCTGAWGTTTTATAAGAAAGAGAAAAGAAAATAGACTCATGGCTGTTAGTGATTACTCTGCCTCTTTTTTGTCTTAGTGGTTGGAAATTAGCAATAATGTGTGACCTAGCCCCTCATATACATCAAACCATCAGTGTGTTATAAAGCTCTTCTTTGACTCTGCAAAAGATCAAACAGCAATAAAATGCTGAACAGGTCTTCTAATCCAGTCAAYTTTCCCAGAGACATTGGCAGGGCTTCCTGGTCTTGCTTACTGTCTAGAACCGGGTCAGAGTGGTTTGCCTTTGTGTTGACCTTGTACTGTGTTTCTCCAAAGGCTGTGGCCTCCTATATGAAGTCTACTAGGCCTTTGCTATGTTACAGCAGCCCTGATTATTAGTTTATTGCTGTTTGGCTTTTACAGTTTGAGTGCAGAGGTTAGTTTTGCCTGACTGTCTAGATCTGTGCTTTATAGCAGCAGGTAGGTACCAGAAGATTTAGAGTTGAAGGAGCGAGGTAAAAGTAAAAAAAATCCTTAAAAACATCTTTAGGGGTAATAAAAATAGCTTATTGTGCTTTTCCTATGTCATCTGTCTGTCAGTCTTAACAGCAAAACTACATTTTTTTGTATTCGGTTTTTAAGGTAAAACACTTTTTTGCTATTTAGGTTGAATTTCTTTAAAAATCTTGAGCCGACTTTTGTTTCATTTAGCATCTTTCTGGAAGATATGAAAGTTTACAGAATCTGTAAATAGATGGCAAGAAATACCTTGTTGCCGTTACAACTATAGGAGCGTGTTTCCATTTGCTTTTTTATGCAACAAAAGAAAACCATCTTTGCTTCTGCTGTGGAATACTAGAAAAGGTTCTAACAAATTTAGTATTAAACCCAACATCATAAATGGTTCAAACGGATTCAATGTAAAATTTACAGACTGTCCATTGTTTCGCTTAGACAGGGGGTCTTTGTACTCAGTTACATTTTTTAATTAAATTTATTTATTTATTTGTCTTGTGGCAAAAACCTTCACATATCTTTAATTTCTCTTGTTTGAACAATTTATCTTCCATCCGGTTCTATTAGTAACCAGCATATCCAGGGTTGACCTGTGGCATAGGCACTGTAGGCAAATGCTGAGGGCACTGTCCATCAAGGGGGCGCTACAAATTGGGGATAAAAAACATTTTATAACTTTTTATCAGAGTACTGTTCAATTCAAAGTCAGTTCATTAGGTGAATTATAGTTGATTTAGTCTGTAGAATAATCACTATTGTTCAGGTTTGTGAAGGTAGTTTGTTCTGTGGGTTCCTCAGCGGTTTTGCTACTACGTGAGGTGTTATATGGTACCGAGGGTATTTCACAATAGATGTTTAATATGATGCAATCAAGACTAACTACTCGTCCTCAGTGTGCAAACAGAAAACAAAAAAAGGATAATGGAAGTTTCTGTTACGATCTCAGAAAAAGTTCAGTTTAAAATCTGGTTTTCTGTGTTCTGCCTTCATTAAATACTGATTTTTATATACAGTTTTGTTAGGCCCAAGAATTTAWAAAAGTGCTCATCAAATGGTTGGAAAATGCATAGCTGAGTAGAACTTTCACAACGTTTTCAGGGGGAGTATACCCCTGGACCCCCTTAGAACTGCTTCACTCCACAGCTGCTCCTTAACATGGACATGTGTTCCTCAGTGCTGTCAGCAGATGTTGACAGGTATGAGTTAGACATCTGGTATTCTGTTTCA